TATATATATATATAATTTGTTAGTTAAAAAATAATTATTTTTCAACATTATAAATAAATTATGATTTTTTATTCTAAAATTCAGTTTATAAACTTATAATCATAATTGAGGAGAGTTATAATAACACTAGTGTATTTTTATTAAGTATTACATTTCTCAATAACTTTATATTAAATGTAAATTTTGTAAATTCAATCATTAGATTGAAAGTTCTTTACTCTTAGATCATATATACAAAATTTTATATTAATCCAAGATGATTTGATACTTCATTCTTATAAAATAAAATTAATGTAATATATATTTCAAAATATACTAAAATATGAACAATTTGATTACCTTCAAGTTGTTATTCAATTTTAACAAAATTTGATATAAACATATAAAGTGATATGACCTTTCAATTTAACAGTTGAATTAATAAAACTCACATTTTACTAAAATAATAAGATAAGAATTAGTATTAAATACATTAAGTGATCAAAATATTTTAATATTTATATATTTTTAGTTTTATTTTTTACATATAATATTAAATAAATAATATTATATTATATATTTTTAATTGATTTTTAGATAATAAAATTTTAAAACTGCAAAAATAAAATTGAATCAAATCGTAAAAATCAACTAATTTGATTCAAATTTTATAATTCATTCAAACCGAATCGTACTTAATTTCCATATCTAATTTAGATGACTTTTAAAACAAAGATTAAATAAAACCTCACCACGAATACTCTTCCGAGTTGACATTAGTCTCACAATCTTATATCATTTTAGAGTGGATTGAAGTGAAAATGAATATAATACTCACAAAACTATATTTGACTTTTTTCTCAAGTGGGGAATAAAAGTCAAACTATGTATATGATTATTTTTTGTTAAAATATACTAAAAATAACAAAATTGTGAGTAAATTTTATCAAATAAAAAGTAATGCTCACAAAATTTTATAATTTTAATAAATTTTAGTCAATAAAAAATTGTGTTAAAAGACTTGCGTTTTGTGATATGTTTTTCAATATTTTTTCCGTGTATAGAAACTCTTATGAGTTATAGTCGAGTTTACATATGATTCCAGTAAACAAATTTTCAAAAGTATTTTGACAACGTTTAGGCCTTTAAAATACAGGTCCTAGAGGTAGTATTATAGCCCCAATGCTAGGTAAAATTAGACAATTAAGCAAACATTTTCGAAAGCAAAAAACACATAATGTTAATAGTGAAAAAGAGAGATTCTGTAACTTCATACAATTTTTTTTTTTGAATAAAAATATATTAGTGGGGATGATAGATAGTTATCAATAATTTCAAAGATAAAACATCCATGAAAAAGATTTTTTTTTCTTTTATTAATTATTATCAAACTATTTATGTAATTTTTATAAATAAAAAATTAGTAAAGAAAAATAATCACTTTTTAACATACAGATATAGATATAAGGTTATTTCCATTCTTTGTCGCCATACCTACATTGAAAGAATCCAACAAGCTTTTCAGAGCTCAAATGTCTGAAACATATCATCATTTGGACACTCGTGGCAAAAATACAGAGTCCAAGGAATGAATATTGAATAGTCTAAGTACAATTACATTGGTGTCTAAACAAATTTTAGATTATTAAACTCTTCTTTTCATAGGACAAAAAAGTAAAATCTTCCCGATATGTATTCAAACGTATATCATATGGTTACAATCTTCCACCAACAAAATTTTCAGCCACGATATTAGGGGACTCCAAAGCAATTAAACTTGGGAAGTCAATGGTAAATGCTTCTTAATTTTCCTGCTTCATGTGATGATAATTACGAGTATGATTTCATCATTAGTACGTTTCATTCAGGCTTTGAACCAATAGAGAAGAACTCAATGATGACTTCTAAAGGCATGCCCTTAGTTTCAGGAACTTTCAAGTAGACAAATATCCATGCAAGGATGCACCCAACAACGTACAATCCAAAGACCCCAGTGAGACCAAGGAGCTGGATCAAGAAGGGAAATGTAGAAGTGACTATCAAGATGCAGATCCAAAATGTAAGGGAGCAAATAGAAATGCATATTCCACGAACACTTGTTGGGAAGATTTCTGAACACAAGATGTTGGGAATCACACCAAGTCCCATGCAGAAGCAGCTTTCGTACACCATAACACTTGCTGCAGTGATTATTGCATTCAGGGTAGAACTCATGGGGATTGAGTTCCGTACTACTAGTATCATCAGAGACACTATCAAGATTGGTATTGTGTATAGCAATATTGACCTGCCATGAGAAAATTAATAAACAATGCCAGTCTCATGATTTGTGGCACTAATATGATGGAAACAAATTACATGTTCCGGTTTCCTGGCCCCTTCCTCTTCTCCCAAGAGTGTCACTTTTTAACTACAAATTACTTTACTTTTTAATTGGGGAATAGGCTTATTAGGGCAGAAAATGGACATAGGTGATTTCAATTCCTGATAGGACACTATCTAGATTATACAAAGAAATGAACCATTATGGCGATAGAAAAATTAGTAAACAAGTTTTTGTGTAAATAAGTTTATCTATAGTACTTTTAAAAGAGAAAAATCAAAAGAACAATTAAAATAAATTTATACATAAGGTAAAACGAGTTTATACATGAGTTTAAAATAAAATTTTAAGAAAATTAATAGAAAAAACTTTTAAAAATTAATTTATATATAAAGTAATTTTAACTTATGAAAAAATTTAATTTATTTTTTCTTCCTATTTTTCTATTCTAGAAGTGTTTTCAGAAAGTAATAGTCCTGTGAAATGGTTAAACATTCCACCCATGTTATAGAAGAATGTAAGGAAAAGCAAGCATACCTCCTGCCTGCAACATCCATGAGCCTCATGGAAATGGCTATACAAGGAAGCATAGTGAATGTTGTAACGACATTTACGAGTAACGAAGCAGATGTTGGAGTAAAGCCCAAATGTGACAGAAGATCCCCAACACCTGCTTGTTCAAGAATCTGGGGAGCATAGTATAGAAATCCATTTATGCCAGCAAACTGCAACATAAACTTTTTGTACTCAGCATATGGCCAAAAACTTTAAATATTAACTGCAATATAATTAAAATCCTTGGTTTGGTTATATATAGAAACTAAGTTTAAAACCCTACGAAAACAACACTCGGAAACATCATGTACTCAGCATATGGTAAAGAACATTGCCAGATTAACTTTAATAGAATTGAAGTCTTTGGGATGTTGATAGTGTACATGTGAAAGAAGATCAGATTGCAATATTGAATATTAACGGGTTGGGTTGGGTATATATAGTATAGCACCTAACCTTTTAGAGCTTAAGCATGTAAAGAAATCCATACTACATAACAAAAGTAATTTTGATTCAGTTAGATCTTTCAATTTTGGTGAAGAAAATCAAGAGGCAAGAGAGGTTGCCCCATGCAAGAGCAGAGCATCTAAGCAAAGGTAGGTAGGTAACTTACTATTGAAAGACCATAATCTGTTGATTCTGTTAGAACCAAAGACTTCTTTCTTTTGTTGATATTATTCGATTCTACTTATTGAGCTAAGCCTCATTAACTAATAGAGAAATGTTACCGATACTCTCTAATACTTTTGCTAATACTCTATATTATTAGTTAAAAATGACAAATTTTAGTAGATCATAGTACTAAATTAGGAAAGAGTCTCATTAAAGGAGAAGCAAAACCCACAAAACTTGTGACTTCTATTAAGTTTTAACTGATAATAGAGTGTTAGAGAAAATGTTGCAAATATTTCTCTAAAAGAAATATTAGTATCACTCTCTTTATTATTGGCTGAAATTTATTAGAAATTACATTTTATGAGATAGTCTTTCATCTGATGAATCTCTTTTATAATTTAGTAGCAAGACTTATTGAAATTTGTGATTTTCAATTAATAAACAGATAAAGTATTTGCCAGAGAAGTGTTGCTAGCATTTGTAGAAAAACTCTCAAAATCGATTTTAAACTTGTACCCCAATAGGCTGAGTAACATTATTTGGGGTACACAATGATCAAAAGTCAAAACAATAGAAAAAACTAGAAGCTTGATAGGTATTGTAATGCAACTAGTGCAATGTGAAGTTTGTTTTGGTTTACCTGCTGAAGAAGTTGCAGTCCAATTCCAACAGTCAATGCCCGCTTGACTCCTGTATCAAACAAATCTCCTAAACCTTTGCGTTTGGCAGAAGCAACTTCTTGTTTAATGTTGACATCCTTAGGGATGAGAACCGAGTGGCTGACAAGTGCAGCCGCCTGAAAAGACTCACCACCAGCACCACCAGCACCAACACCATCTACATGCAAGTCATAGCCAGAACCAGTAACAAACGAACCATGCTGAGACGCCGCATTAGTATCCGCACGCAGATAAACCCTTTGTAGTTTCCCATCATTTTTCCCACCCTCAGAAGTCTTATAAACCAGTTTCCACCCCCCACCAATGTCAGTGTTCTTAGGTATCTCCCCCAAAGCCTTATCAATGCTTACTTGGGCCGAAAGCAGTGGTGCATGCAGGTTGTCACTGGTCCCAAAGGGGCTCTGATCAGGCTCAATCATCAGCGTGCTTCTTGAGGCACCAAGCTCTAGGGGGTTAACACTCTCGTGCAGGCTTCCAAAGAGGCTGACTAAAGGGTCTTTGAGGTTTTGAGCCTGAGCAACGAGGCTTCCCTGGCGAGACAAGGTTAACATGCTTCGTGATAACATGCTACCTTGTCCACTCAGTGGTTGTGCAACCATTGAAACCCCTCCTTGGTTGGGTCCATAGAGCTTTATGCAATCCCTACCTGCTTCCTTTGTTGCCATGAGGTCACTTGCAGGGGCTACCATGTACTCTTCTATTGTGGTGCCTTCACCCCCAGGACTCATTCCCTCAGACAGTAGAGCCAGTTCCCCTATACATCAGAGCCAGGTCATGATATGATGATGATGATGATGATGATAAGTGATAACATTGTCAAAACCAACAAAGAAAATGAAGCTAGTTTAGGTTTAGCATGACCTGAAACATCTTCAGTGCCTCGAATCCTTTGCAAAACTTTCCTAGCCTGAGGGATTCTCCCTTTACTGACAAGCCAAGGAGGAGACTCAGGGAGATAAAACATGGCCAGAGAGAAATAAGCAACAGAAGGAACAGACACAACACCAAGCATTGCTCTCCAACTTGGTGCGTCCGTCAAGGACATGCAGAAGACCATGACGTAGGCCACAAACATCCCCGCGGAGCATGAAAACTGTGGGAGAGTGTTGAGAGTGCCTCTGATGTCAGGTGGTGCAATCTCTGATATGTAGAGAGGAGTGAGTGTTATGGCAAGTGCAATGGCAACTCCATCCAATAGCCTTGAACACAGAACCGCACTCACATTAGGGGCCCAAAGCATCACCAAACCGCTCAAGAAAAACATGACCGATGATGCTATCAGCATTGGACGCCTTCCAAGAATGTCCGAAACTGTCCCTGAGAATATTGTAACAACTGTGCCCGTGATGAATGGTGTCGACACGATTAGCCCCTCCAGTGTAGGGTCGCTGTCCAATTTGAACTCTTGTTTGATGTAACTCATGCCCCCTGCAAGGATGTACCAACATGTACTGTTAGTGAGATCTAATGCCCAACAATACAGGTTTCTTGTTGCATTCTAAAGTTTGAGACGTGGAATCATTTGTAGAAACCAAAAACTAAATGGAGAAAAATATGCTTAGGATGATCCCTCTAAAATCTCTTCACGTTTTAGTCTCTCAATGTTCTTTTTAGTACTATTTTGATATTTTAGTTTAAAAATGCATAACTTTTAGTTTTCAAAGTTTGTTCAACACTTCAAAACAATTGTAAAAGCCTTTGTCTGACAAAAAGTGGTGAATTTTGATAGTTTTATTTTACCCGACTAAATAAGATTGACTATCATTAAGAGAAAAGATTAAGAATTTAATTTTGGTACTCAATTAAAGATTTTTATATGGTAAATTAGTTAAAAAATTATCCTATATCACCATATACTTGCACGTATTGGGATTATTTATTTAACAAAAAATTCGGCATTTGATTTCTGTTGTGTGTGAAAAATTTTCAGATAGGCAATAACTATATTACCATGAGTGAACAGTTTTATCAAGGGGTGGTAAAATGAGTCGGTCTGACCCGTTTTGGTCCAGTTCGTCAATGGTCCATAAAAGACGGGTTGAGTTGGACTGGGCCGCCATTGAAAAATGGATTGAGAATGTTGGCTCATCCTATCTAAATGTGGGTTGCTAGCGGGTTGGTCCATTAAAAAAATGCAAAAAAAAATTGTTGACAGGTTGACTGGCTTGGCAGGGCAAGCTTGACGGGTTGAGAGATTGAAATGATAAGTCCGGCCAGTCAATTTAAGGTAGACTAACGGGCTGGCCCGTGGGCCATGACCCATTTTATCATCCCTAATTTTATCATCCCTAATTTTATCATCGTGAATGAATTAGTCTTTGCATTAGTAGATCCAAGAATATACGTAGAATAAAAAAAATCCTATATATACTTTTAAAGTAATTATTAAAAAAAATAATTTTATTATATATGATAATTTATGATTAGAAAACCGTATAAAATGACTTTTACACTGTTGACATACATTCTAATTAAATTCAAAAATTAATATGGGTAAGATGTTAAAGATTTTCAGATACTTGAGTAATTAAACATGCATGTTATATGAGCAATGACGATGATTACGATATAAATTAGACGAGAAAAAAGATGTATGAAAAATATATGAGCAGCATATATACACCTGCAATGGTTGAACTATCCCATCCAACCAGCAGATTCCCCAGTGTAGCAGCAACTGCAATAATCACAACCTCCCTCATTGTTTTTCTAGGCTGATGGAAAAGTAATTAACAAAAAGAATCCAAATCCAGAACTCAATTTGGACTATTTTTTAGATATATCTATATCTGCAATGTGGAAACTTCTAATCCAGATGGTAGTGTTGTAAACATAAAGCATTTCATTGCAATGCCAAGCTTTGAACACCCTCTAAAGTGTGCACATTTTGTCAATTTTGTTTCATACGAGCATGGCTTTGATGAACGTGTCTTAAGCTTCTTAATTAACCTGTTCTCAACTGTGTCCAATATGACAATGTTGAACTTGAAGTGGGATTTTCTTCGGTTAATTAATCGAAGGTCAAACGAGCAATGGCAACCCCAAATTTCTTGGACGCATGTGCTTTAGTCTTCGTCACTAGTTATTGAAAACGAAATCTCTGCAATATTTTTGTGGGTGTCATAGCGCCACGAATATATTTTACTATTTTAGAACATGAAGGTGGTAGTGATTAGCACTATAATAGGAGCAATGCATAGCATGCCACGATCGATCCATCAAACCAACATTTTCCCCGATTCTTGTAAGAATTCATAATATATTTGTTTAATTATGTCTTGGTTTAAGATGGTTAAATTTAAAATGGAGAAAATAATCGTCGCTACCTGTTGCACCACCATAATGTCATAAAAACATAGTGAGAATTTAATCATGAGAAATACTAATAGTACGTTCTCTTAAATATTTTTCTTAATACATACTCTACTATAAATTAAAATTTTAAAAGAAAATTATAAATTATTGTGAGGTCTACCATGTGATAATTTTAAACAGTTTTATATCATGTCTTTGGTTTCAACTAATTTCAACATGATATTTATTATTAAAGTTTTTCAATTTAAAAAAAAAATTAATAACACGCAACAAGTTAAAAATAGAGATCATGATAGTTTCTCATATAAAGTTGGAAATGAGTCAAATTGAATTGAGTTTGCTTCACCTCAAGCTGGTTTAACTCAATAATATTTATTTTATTGGTTTAAACTTCACTCGTTAGTTTGGTCCAGCTCATTAGCTTGAATTATATAAACTAAGAGTCAAATTATTTAAATCTAATGCATTTTAAAATTTTAATATATTAATAGATTTTAGAAGAAAGAAAATAATTGTTTATTTTTTTTAAAAGATAAAACATAACTTATTCTATTAATTTTACAAAATTATAAGGTATATGATTCCAAAGTAAGCTAATAACAACTAAAGTATGCAAAAATAAAAAGTATCTCATCTTGAATAAAATAATTAAAAAAAACTCAATTAACTATGAAACCTTAAGGTGTCCACTTTTTTTTAAGTATTATTGACTTATAACTAATTTTTGAAAGTTCTTTTAAATTTTAATAAGTTAAAATTAAATAGAAAATTAATTATATAAATTATATATTTATATATCTAGTCCATTCATGAATCAAAGGAACCAAATCATATGCAACTCAAACTTGGCTCATGATAAGCACATTCAAATAAAAGAAAAGTCCAAGGAAGCAAATAAACATAAACTTAACAGAAAAGGCCCAACTAGCTAGATAATTTCATTTGAACATTTTAAGAGTTGTTTTTGTTATATTTCTTTTAATTTATTATCGTTGGTGTCACGACACATGGGTATGCAACTTGTTTAAAAAGGGCCTCCAATTTCTCCTTGAATAATTAAATAAATAATTAATATGAAATAAATTTTAAAACTAGAAACATGTATCTTATAAAGTCTCTTAAACATCAATTCTTAGTAAAAGGGTTCACAAATCTTTCAACAACTCTATTAAATAAAAGAAGGCATAACTAAATAATGTGTAAGATTAAAAGAAGATACCAATCGCCCATTTGAACAAAACTCCAACATCAAACATGATTTAATTAAACTTGAATAATTCCAAACAAAATACTAAAACTATAAATCTTCATCTCAATGTCATACTAATTAGATCGAAACTCCTAGACAAGTGAAGCTCTGAGTCTTTCCACTATCAAATACATATTCTTGTACTTGATATATTCCAACAATTGACAATCAACCTAAACACAAGCATAGAGAGTGACAATACATGATCTCATATGTACACAACATATATGAAGTATAAGAGTAGCCACACAAATTCACATAATTAATTAATCTCATATACCCATCAATCGTCATCCATACATCCAAAACAATATTAACAATGCATTAATCCATCATCATTAACCAACAATGTACTTTAATCATTCATAATTATAATTATAAAGACTCTTACAAATGCATGTTCCTAATTCTATATGTATATGATACCAAATCTCCTCATCAACCTCTATAGAATAGCATAGCAGTCATGGAGTGGAACCACCCATCTATAGTGATCCCCTTGAACCACCCTTAACCAAGAAATGTCTATTAGGGTCTTATCAAAGTGTTACAACTTTCCATAGTTGCCTTCCATTTCTATTAGAGGTTTCCTACCATAACATCCTCCAGGGTATAGGTAGATGACCTATGATATCCTTGTTGAATCCCACCTTAGTATATGTTTTAATAATGACAAACTCTTAGTTTCAAGTTTTAACTATAAAGAGTTCTCATGTAGAGTACTAAAAGATTTGTTCAAATGTTTCATATATATTCTATTTAGTACTAAGAAGCTTATAACTCAAAAGCTTCAATAGAAAGCATTTAAGCAACTTGAGTTATTATGTTGCACCATTGGTCTTAGTTGATTGATGAGTACAAGTTGATGTCAACACTACTTAAAAAATAAGCAATCCCTAACAAACCTATTTTGAAAACTATAAAAGAAGACCTTGGCTACATTTCAAAAGCAGGCAGGAGCAAAGAGAGAAATCACATTAAATCAACTATCAAAGTTGTAATCCTTGCTTCATACTTTACTTTTCAGAGATCTCCACTTCTACATTTGTATCAATCTTATAATAGAGAAAATGAAGTGTGAATCTTCCTTAGTGGAAGCTCCAATTAGGAGGAACTATTGTAACCATAGTTGAGTGTTAGGATACACAAACCCATTTTCTATAAAAGCCTTCCTTACCCAGATTTCAGTTGTAGAGGTGTAGGAAGGAGAGAAATGAGTTCAACCAAGATGATCTAAGATCTCATAGTAGGTGGTTGTGAGGTTGGGTTACTCAATAGGTTGTTGAGGGAGAAATCTCAACAAGTGGTTGAGTGGAAATTACTAATGGCAGGTGGTTGTGTAGTGAGGAAACTATATTAGTAGATTGCTTGAGGTGTAAGTTAAACAACAATGATTGTGTTTAGTGAAAAATCTCACTAGGTTGTGAGAGGATTGAATGTAGCCTTATTTAGGGTGAATCAGCATAAAAACTCAATGTGAAATCTCTCTAACTTTATCTCCTTACTAGCTATAGTTTTATTATTGTTTTATACATCTCTACCACATAATCTTTTATTACTTTAAATTACTTAGAAGATAGTCTCATAAGAAAAAATTTTAACACTCAAAAGGTTCACTTTTTGAAGGATAAATTTTCATAAATAACATATTTTTAAGGAATACAACATTCAACCTCCTTTCTTGTTGCCTAACATTCACTTCAATTCCACCTGTACATACTCATATTATCTTGTGAACAAAGTATGTATGCATGAGTCATATCACAACATTACAATATGCAATGATCCACTTCCTCATTTTCCAATCCACAACACTGGGCTTATCCACCACATTTCACCACAATACTCATGTTAATTCAGCACATAATGCATCAAGACAACTCCTCAGAGAACATCATTAATACATACACCCAAAGTGCATCATTCAATTAACTTCTTACATATTACAAACTTATTATTTTTATTTTCTTAGTTCTTAGTTTTATCTCTCCTCTAGACTCCTCAATTGTCAATTAATTTGTACAATTAACATTGTTTGGGAAAATGACTAGTGCTTAATGAGGTTGGACTCACACTCGACAAGGAGAGGTCAGGGATCTCTTTGCCAAAATCATGCCTAGTATAGGATCACCTGTTCTCAATGTGGCAAGGTTTGGGACCTATTTGTCTCAATCTCGCCCGACATGGCTATCCTTATACACCCGATGTCAAGGAGCCTAAATCCCTCTAGAACCCTTTTGCTCGACTTGGTCCAAGCCACATCTAAAATCGCACTTCCCCAGAAATCGATGTCAAATGGTGTGAGGTGCTACATAGGGAGGTTTAGGACTTCTCTATAGTGCCACGCCCAATGTGATCCTTCTCACACTCGGCACGGTCGTAGGCTCTGCACATTGCAAAATTGCGAGCTACTCAATTCATTTACAACAATTCATTCATACACAACCTTTTACCTTAATTAATCACCTGCCTTGCTATTCATTTTAACTTTGAAAAAATTCTTCGATTTTTTTAGTCGGATTTTTGGAGATTAGATGCCTTGGTAATCATTTTAACTTAGAAAAAACTGCAATTTTTGCTAGTCGGATTTTGGGCGACTACATGCCTTGCTATTCATTTTAACTTAGAAAAAATTTTGCAATTTTTTCTAGTCAGATTTTGGGCGACTACATGCCTTGCTATTCATTTTAACTTTGAAAAAATTCTTCGATTTTTTTAGTCGGATTTTTGGAGATTAGATGCCTTGGTAATCATTTTAACTTAGAAAAAACTGCAATTTTTGCTAGTCGGATTTTGGGCGACTACATGCCTTGCTATTCATTTTAACTTAGAAAAAATTCTTCGATTTTTTTTAGTCGGATTTTTGGCGATTAGATGCCTTGGTATTCATTTTAACTTAGAAAAAACTCTGCAATTTTTGCTAGTCGGATTTTGGGCGACTACATGCCTTGCTATTCATTGTAACTTAGAAAAAATTCTGCAATTTTTCTAGTCGGAGTATGGGCGATTAGACGCTCTGGTATTCATTTTTTTTTTAACTTAGAAAAAATTTTGCAATTGGCCGGCAAAGGATCAATATTTTCGCACGCACCAAGTCACTCAACTCATATCTCAACTCATATCAAAGGAAACACACAGATTTTTATAAAAGCAAAGGGTCACAATAGTCCATACAAACCATCAACAAAAAACATGAAAATTTAAAGGTAAAAACAACATTATGAGGCAGCACTCAGTCATCCTCGGGAGGATCCACCAGTTCACCATTCACAATCTCCTTCAAGTAGCCCATTCCCCCAATGTCGAGATCGGCATGCAGAAATTTTATCTGAGAAGTCGCCGCATCAAAACCTTGCGTAAACTTCTTCAGTGAATCCATTTTGATAGCATGGGCGTCAGCTTGCAACTTCTCAATCTCGGCCTTCATACTCGCCACATCACTCTCGAAGGTTTGGGCAGCATTGGCATATTTTTCTCGCGATAGGCGAGCATCCTCCAAATCCTTCTCCATTGCAACCTTCTCCGCCGCCCAGGCCTGTTTCTCGTCCTCAAAAACACGGCGACCTTCCAGTAGCCTATCTCGCTCAGTAGATACCCACTTGAGCTCAGCCTTACTCTTGTTCAAACTTTCCTCTAAGGAAACAATCCTTTTGCCTTGCAACTTAGTCTCCTTCACTAAGCCGCGAATTGTGTCTTCGTTGATCAACGAGAGAGCCGAGAGACGATTGGTAAGTGATTCGACGCCCTTGGCGATGGTGAAAGCACTCATCTTCTCCAAATCGTCTCGGTCACCTTCTAGCAGGTCGGTACCTCGGAGGTGGGCACTGTGGTTGAACTTCTCGTCCCAGAAAGAGGCCACATTGCTACGATCGGCACCATAATTCACCGGTTCCCAATTCTCCCCAAGACAAGCACTCAAGGTCCTCTCGGCAGATTGAACCTCTGTGTTGTCTTTATCCGTCTGAGTGGCTACGATAGTCTCCAAGTTGACCACCGAGATGGACTTGTCGGTCTCACGACGGCGTTTCTGCGGAGACTCGCCGATGGTCCTCGACTTCACTACGGGACTACCAGTGTCCGCAACCTTCTCGGTAGCCGACTCTCCCACTACAGCCGCCTCAGAAACCTTTTGCTGCTTCCATAGTCTCATCATTTCTCGGTTGCTCATACTAGCCATCCTCCCTGCAAAGACACATCAACAAGTTAACTTAAGAGTCTTCGAGTTATTTATACTCGCCCAGTCGGATTTTTACCGATCAATCACGAGTTTGGTCTTCGAGTTATTTATACTCGCCCAGTCAGATTTTTACCGATCAATCATGAGTTTGTGGTGCCTTCAAAATAACACATGTTAGAAATCATATAAGATAAATAAGGGATGATGTTTATTAGGATTCAGGAATTATTGGTTTGCGGTGCCTCATTAAAAACCTTCTCAACAAAAAACCTTTTCACATTTTTATATGGAATAAAAATCTCTTGGGACGACCCCAGCTTCTCGGCTTTCAGCTGCCCTTTTGTTGATTTGTCCCTCCTCCGTCTTGATGTGACTCGAGGCGAAAGATCTCACCTCCGACATCGTTTGACAACTCGCTTTCATCATGCACTTCCAATCATTAGAACAAAATTCAACGTGGGGCCATAGATGTATACTTGTTATAAAAAAATATTTTCATGACCTAATTGATAATTAAATAATAATAAAGAGCTTTGTCCTCACTTAATCAAATACAAACTACTCAAAACCCTCACTGCCAGTGTTTTCAACTTATACATAAACTAAATTTAACTAACGGAAAACCAAGTGCTTATTAAAAATTTTATGCAAACAGGGCCTAAATGAACAATAAAGGCAAAACGCATTTCCGTACAAAAGAATTAAAAGCCCCGATGTGAAGGTGCACCACTCACGGAGGATCCAAATTTTCAACCAATAACACATTCCGACGCAATTAAAAAGCTGAAATACTAAAAAATAAAAATAAAAAAATCTTGAAGATGCAATTGCAAGAAACGCGAGCAATTAAAAAAGTGAAATCAGAGTATGCAAAATGGTGTGAAGGTGTGAAACGAAGCGAGAAATTTGGAAGCAGAGAAAACCCTAACCTCCGCGGCAGAGAGAGAGAAGGAGTGAAGGCACTTGGGTTTTACCGGCTTCTGTCTGTATCCATGCCTCAGTTATCATTTCCTTTACATATGTTTCTCTTCCCTTTTACATTTTTTCTTTTCTTCTTTTTCGTTTTATCATTTCCTTTACTCACCAAAATAAATAAATAAATAAATATATAAAATGTCTCAGTTATCAACTCACCGGTTCATGTCTTTCTTTTCTTTTTTCCACTTTCAGCCATCCAATTGGAATGCACATCCATATTTATTGAAAATAATTTTAAAAAATTGACCTTTTTTAATATTTTTTGCCTATTTTTCCTTTTTGATCTTGACTTTAAGAAAGTTAAAATCGTAGCATAATTAATTACCACTAAGAAGTTCTAAGACTCTAAACGGCTGAAGTTTAACTTCATTAAACAATATTAGGCAACATATTGGCCTTTCTATATTTTAAGCATAATTCTCTACCATATTCTTGAAATCTTATAGTCAATGTAACAATAATTTTAATTTATGCCTGCATGAACCAATCTTATTGTCGCTTGATTTGCGAGAACTAACTATACTGAAAGGACTAGTTGCAAGAAAGTTAAAAAAACCATCCAATTGGAATATGGTTTGGATGTTTTCTTGTAATATATATGTGGATTTTAAAAAATATATATGAGTAAAAATTCAGTCACTTTAAAAGTAACTCTTAAATGAGTTATTTAATGAATGTAATTACGTTATATATTGAATTTCTTATTCAATAAATTAAGTCTAAAAATTTGTATGATTTATCTTTTAATCAATAATTTTATTTAATAGATTATATTAGATAATATTTAATAATTTTTAAAATTAATATTAGATAATATTTAATAATTCTAAAAATATTTTTAAATATTCAATAATTAAAAAATATTAGATAATATTAGTCAATTTGCAAGACTTTGTTCTCTAAATTTGCGAGACATTTTTTAGGGTAGTGCAAGCAACGTAATCTCTTATTTGCGAGGGATTAGCGACAATACTTTTCCCTCACTAATTTGCGAGGGATTTGCGAGGGATATACTTATAACTCATTAGCGAGGGATTTGCGACAAGAAAAAACTCTCGCTAGATGAGAAATTAATTTTTTTTTATTTTGGGTCATAATTTGGAGAGGGATTTGCTAGGCATTTGCGAGGGCTTCAGTTCCTCGCTAAATAAGCACTAACTGTAGCGAAGGATTTGCGAGGAGATAAAGGTTGGTCGCAAAATGCTCCTATTTAGTGAGGGAATTTAGCGAGGGATATAAATCCAAGCTATTTCCTCGCTAAATTCCCTCGCTAATCCGCAAAATTCTTGTAGTGTTTGCGAGGGATTAGCGAAAAAAATTTCCCTCCCTAATTTGTGAAGGATTTGCGAGGAATTTGCGAGGGCTATACTTATAATTCATTAGCGAGGAATTTGCGACAAGAAAACTCCCTCGCAAGATGAAAAATTTATTTTTTATTTTGGCTCATAATTTGGAGAGGGATTTGCAAGACATTTGCGAGGGACTAAGTTTCTCGCTAAAGAAGCACTAACTTTAGCGAAGAATTTGCGAGAAGACAAAGGTTGGTCGCAAAATAGCGAGGGACTTTAGCTAGGAATATAAATCCAAGCTATTTGCTCGCTAATTAGCGAGGGATTAGAGAGGAATTATATCCCTCGCTAAATTCCCTCGCTAATCTGCAAAATTCTTATAGTGATATCATTCAAACCATCGTTTACCACTCTTACATCAATCAATAAAAAAATTCATTCAATTAGATCAAAATCCCTAAAATCATAATTAACTTAATCCCTCAAACGTTGTAAATCATCGTCACACTGATTCAATCAAATTTAGTTACAAATCATTAATAAAACAAAGAATGACATCAACAAATTTCATAGAAGAACATCCATTAGAATCTCAAATAGAACCTATGAGACTTAAGATCATCTCTCTACTATTGTCCCTCATATCTACCCAATGATGTGATAATCTCACTCCCCTTACTTGTAGTGATGATCTCATGATTCAATGTGCTTCCTGTAGCTTTGGTTGCTATTCCATACTCCTTTTGGTGTTCTCTTTTAGGTTTCTTTAAGCAAGTGCTTTAGGGTTTCAAAAGATGTGTAATGAACGTAATCCCCCCTTATTTTATTTCAGAAGATGTTTCTCCTGATAAGTTTTTGTAGGTTAGGCCCAAAGTCCAACCTAATCCTCTCTACTATACCTATCTACTTATTTTATTTATTAATAAAATATTTCTCTCTATATAACTTAATTAATCAAATATTTATTTCTTTAATTTTAAAAAATAAGGTGTTACATAAATGAAGTTTATTCAGTAAATATTTGTAGATTTTTTACCATTAGATAGTCTTCCCTTTAGTATTCAAAGATATAACTACTCTTATCAACTCATTTATCTATCATCATCAATTTCAATTTATTAGTTCATAATTCAAGTTCAACAAGCTAATTATAGAATCAGGTTTCAAATTATTTTCATATTCGTTCAGTTCATTCTCATCCCTAATCCTATACCACTTTATGATCCCTTAATTCTAGTTATTATTTAAAAAATCTCAATATTTTAAAGTTTTTAATAAATTTTAACAAGTAATATAATATGCGTTACGAAGTGTTTTAAAAACATATTATTAGCACTCTTCTCTGGTTATACAGTTTCATACTCAATGGACAATATTTACATTTAGGAATAATGATGTTTTTAGTCTTGGAAATTTTCTAAAATTTGATTTTATTCCCTAAATTTTTAAAACATTGGTTTTTATTTTTTGTGATTTAAGGCACCCGAAACTCAGGTTCCTGTATATAGGAAAACAGTGTTAATTTTAACGACTAAAATTTGAGTATTTTAAAAAACACAGGAGCAAAAGTTATTTGTTTTAAATATTGTGAATAAAAATAAAAAAATTAAACATTTTTTTACACCAACATCAAAAATCAAACTTTTAATCTTTACATTATGAACGAAATTGATAATTTCATGAAAGTAGCGTGGGGACGAAGATTTCACTCCTAGAAAGTAAGAGATAAATAAATTGAGAAAATAGCACATATTGATAGTTGGTTTAAAGTAAGTTAATTTTATAAAATATTTAATTTAAATGAATAGTAGATAAATATTTAATCTAAATGTTATGACAATATGTAAAAGAAAGAGAAGAGAAAGAAGACGACACACAAATTACGTGGTTCAGTCAGTGTGACCTACGTCTACGGGCAGTTCAAGAGTTTCTTATTTCTGAATGAATAGAGATATCTGATACAGATTCCTTTTAGCCTTATAACAAGGAATAGTAACGGACAAAATTATAAATTCAAGGCATCTCAACAATTCTTGACTTGTTGTGCACCGGGGGTTACCACACATATACACATATCTTCACATTTGTGAGATATTGTCCATTTTGGGCCTAAGCCCTCACGGTTTTGCTTTTGGACACTACCCAAAAGGCCTCTTAACCAATGGAGACAACTGTGTGTATATAAACTCATGTTCATCCTCTTGTTTGAACGATGTAAGACTTTGCTTGCATCCCAACACTAAATGAATGGTAGAAGATTTCACTCCTATAGAGTAAGAGATAAATAAATTGAGAAAATAACACATATTTATAGTTGGTTTAAAATAAGTTAAATTTATAAAAATATTTAATTTAAATGAATAGTAGATATATTTTGAGTTTAAAATTTATAAATTGTTAATGTAAAAGTTTTATATTGTAAATCAATAAAAAAAAAAAGTCTTTGATGGAAACAAGGAAAAACTAGAATTACAATAGGATAAAGTCATCGATCTATCGTATGTTATCTATGGTTCGAATAAATTGTAATGTAACAGCCTCATTTTTACTTATCATTTTCTAATTATTTAATATTAATTTTAAGCATACAGGTAAAAATTCGTAAATTCTTAGTACGCAATTGTGTTAAAAATATAAAACATATGTTAAATTGTATTTTTAGACTTTCTATTTTGGTCAATATGTAATTTCGGTTTCTCTATTTTAAAATAAAAAAATTTTATTATTATAATTTTTATAAAAGAAAATACAAAATTTTGGTCATTTCATCAAATTGAAACTTATTAATTGTTAAATTTTAATATTTATTCATATTCGAGTAATGTTACATTTAATAATATGATAGTTAGAGATAAAAAAAACTATAAAAAAAATTATGCAAAACAAGATTTATTAATAAATAAATATCAATTAGATGTTAAAATATATAAAAATAAATATTTTTTAATGTTATTTTTTAACTTTTATCTTACTTGTCACTCTCGAAATATTACATCAATTAATTGGAGATAGTGATTAAACAACGTCAAAAATTTAATGATCAACAAATATCAAATTGATAATAAGATCAAAATTTATATTTTTAAAAATAAGGAGATAAAATATCTCTATTTTAATATAGAAAGTCTAAAGTTACAGATTGACAAAAACAACATTACAACAAAATAAAATTTTAGTGACGTTTAGATTTTAGAGGGGTGTATTGGTTTAGGATTTTGTAGGATTTTAAAAGACTTTTTTTTAGTAAAAAAGTTCATTGGTATTCAATCAGGATTTTATGTCACTTAAAAATAATCCAATGGTATTCAATCTAGATTTTCAAGATTTTTTAAAGAGACCATTAAAATCCATTGGTATTCATTTGAGATTTTTTACAACTTAAAAACAATCCATTGGTATTCAAAAATATAAGGATTTTAAAGGATTGTTGTGTGAGAGGGATTTTGAAGGACTTTCTAGTGTTATCTATAAATACCAAATTCATAAAACAATCTCATCCAAACCCATCGGATTTTGAAGGATTGTTTGAAGTGACTTTTCAAGAATTTTCAAGTGAGTTTTTCATCTTTTTTTTCTATGCTTCTGTCTTCTCCATTTTTTCTCCGCTAATAATACTGCACTATTATTCATTGCTCATATATAATATTGTAGTACTGTTCTCATCTCATTCCCCTATTTTGTGAAACTCCGATATGTAAATAATAGTGTTATTGACTTGCTCTATTTTTCTGTTCGTTTTCTTTAATTGAA